GTAGAAAAGGTAAAATCCCCATATACTGCTGGTGGAGATGTAAAATGGTAGTCACTTTGGAAAACAGTTTGGCAGTTTCTTGAAAAGTTAATCATAACTTTACGTACAACCCAGCAATTTTACTCGCCTTCCTTGCAACTGGGTTCTTTGAGTAAACTGGGTTTCCCCAACTAGATACACTGCAGTAAGGTTTGGAATATGTAGGTGGAGGCCATCCTTCTGCAACTCTGGCTTCCTTTGCTTGTCAGCATGGCAGGGAGCTACTGAGTTTTCCTGTAGGTGTTCAGTGTTTAGCTATCATCAGCTTCACCAGTATCAAGAGACAGTGGCTTTAACAGGTTCTGATTCTTATACTACAGCTCCAGCAGAAAGTTCTTGAAGTGAGCAGTCCCAGTGGTAGCCTCCTAACTCCTTCCATCCTAATGTGGCAGACAGTGCAATACCTTTGACAGGTCAGGGCAGCTGTGAGGTTCTGGGCATTCTTAGAGGCCCAGCCTCAAGCCCATTCCTCCAGTACTTCCAATAATTTAGAAAGCACCTGATCTGTATTTTAAATTCCTTTCTGTCTAAATTAGCTAGTGTAGGCATTATCTCCTTCCACTCACCTCTAAATAATATAATACACAGGAAGACAAAGGAAGCAGTATATCCCATACAAAAGAGAGGTAAAGGGCATTTCCAAGAGTACGGCAAAGAGGTAGCAAGATGACTGCTGAGCGCCAAGTGTAAAAATCAACCTCCTCAGAAGGCTCTGAGACAGACATCTCTAAAAGATGCAACAGAAGAAAACCAGATATATGTATATATATTATGAGTAGGTTCTGACAACTTGAAAAATATGGTTTTGAATTAGTAAAAAGTAAGCAAACAAAACAGACTAAATATAAATTTGTGTAAGAGAGAAAAAATAATCATAATTTACTAAATATTTCACCTGTGGATAGCATTTAGTTAGTCACAATAACCTAATGCAGACTATAGACCTACCTCAAATTATGCTCTAATTGTAGAAAAGTTTGCGAGATGAGCAAGGCACCTATTTTAGTGTTGGGATAAAGAAGAAATGGAGAATTCCTCCTCTTTCATGTTGCATAGCTAAAAGAGAATGTTTTAAGTGGAAAGAAATCAAGAAGCAATATGAGCATGTTACTTAGAGACAGAGTACTGGCCAGATCAGCTCTAAGTGTTGAGACTGGTTGCCTCAAGGATGGGCACATGGGGGGTTGCTGGGGCTTGCCCTGAACCTTGTAGAACTATTTGACTCCTTAAACTATGAGATGAATAAACTTCAATGAAAAGAAACAATATCTTCAAAAGAAAGAGCAAGGTAAGAAGAAAAGGAAGTGGCCTGGGTTCTCCCTATCACTCGGAGGCCAAGGCACTCTGGGTGCGGATGGGGCCCTCTGCTCTGGGGACACCAGCACGGGCAGCATTCTGTCTGGGAAGCTGGCCAGGTCACTGTGAGCCAAGAGCTCAAAAGAAGAGAAGAACACAAAGAAATTTGTAGCTAAAGTGAGAGAAGAAGATCAGATACTCAAGCAAAATTTCAGTATATTGGGGGTCAAGTAAAAAAATATATATATTGGTTTTCAGAGATAAATAAAATACCTGAAGTAGTATTTCAGGCATTTTATTTCAGGTATTTTACTACTAACAACTGTCTCTACCTCAAACAGTTGCAAAATTACCGTTTTGCACTAAAGGTTAAATAGATTCTCTAAGTTCAAATTTATTTCTGAAGTATGCAAGAGTCATGAGTTCCAGAAACATGTAAAACTAATTTGTTTTTCTTGGAAGTAGTGTGGGTATAAGAAACAGATTCACTGACTGATAAGCCAATCATCTCTTTCTCCTTGCTGTCCACATGACAACAGTTCACCATTCAGTTAAACATATTATGTGTGGTGAGTCAATGCAAAAGTTTACAAAGCAACATGTTCAGCTGAAAGGTTCCATTTAGTCAAATTAATATAGTTCATTCTTTAATTTTTAGCTTAAGGCATCTGGGAGAACACAAGAAGAATAAAAACCACTACCAGCACCTCTGTTAAAACTTATTTTCAGGGTACAGCTGAACCATTTATACAGGCATGGCCCTTCTCACCACAACAAATAAATTTGCACTTGCCTGACTGAAATTTCATTCTTACTGCAATCAAATTGCTACCAGCATGTTGTGAACACTATAAATCTTCCCATGTTGATTCATGAAATGAAAAATATCAAGGGAAATAAATAATCCTTTACTCCCTGCCAGTCTTATGGAATAAGAAACAACAGACATCTTGACTAGGTACAAGAAACAATAAAACTGTCCTCACTTAGCAGGCTTCTGCTAGTCTCAGTGTTACCTACATGTACTGTGTGGGTTATGAAACTGTCCAGGGCTGATGGGTCTGACCTCTATATGAAAAACTAGATCCTGACTTTTTACTGTTAATAATTCATTATTATCAGCAGTTATTTGGAACAGAAGGGAAATCTAGATCATCTCTAGCTCTTTCCATCTGTGAATCCATGTGCCAATTAGACTACAAAGGGCCTGGTTCTGGCTGGCCAAGGAGCTGGAAAGTGCTCCCCCTCCCGGAGAACAGTGCTCCATGGCCCTGGGTGGGAAGGCCCGCTTTGCCAGCCAGGCTTCTGGCATTCCTAGCCATGGCTGGGCCTCAGGTGTTTTAGGCACAGCACAGCCAATTCTTGCCCAAACCCCTTTCCCACCAAGCCAAGGCTTCATTTCCAGCCATGGACAGCTATCACTCTAAATGATTACAAAGGACTAAACCTAGACAGACCCGAGGAGCAGAAGGCAGAATCGGGCCAAACTGGAGCCAAAGGGAAGGAAGCCAGAGGCATTGGCAGCAGGAGCAGACGCACAAGCTGTGCCCTGGAGCTGATCATGGCCTGCACAGGAGAGTGATGGGCAAAGGACCCACAACAGCCATGGGGAAGCCTGGCCAGAGTGATCCATGTCCCATCTCCACCTTAAATCTGGGACATTGCTCGATGCCAAAGCAAGTCCCTTCAGTGTCAGGAGGCTTTTCAGCAAACAAAGCACAATTTGTATAACAGATCTGAGTGTGAAAAGTAGGAAACACTTCTAAATTAAGGGAGAGATTTGGAAGTTTTTCAAAATTATAATACTCTTTTACTTCTCGAGTTATGATCTCTCAGCTATATCCCTCAATTTTTAGGCCTGGCTGAGACAACAACTAGTGGGTTATTTTTTTCTTTGACTCAATTTCCCCCAGAGAAACAGGAATGAAAATCATATGCTTATTTCCACCTCTCAAATTCAATTATCCAAGAATTAAATTCTGTATATTTCAAGTCATTAAATATTCATTGAGCCAGGATCCAGGTACTTCAGAGAATTAAAAAATAAATAAATAAAACTGTTTAAACAAAGGCCTTGCTCTTGGGTCTAGAAAGAAAAAAAAAATTGTTTTTAAATGCTTAAGTAATCATACCAAAAAGAAAACCACGATAAATATCACAAAAGATGTCAACAGTCTGCTCAACAATTTCTGTGGATTTGGTCTGTGCTGGGTATTGTGTTAGGCATGGAAGATAAGACTGATAAATGATAAAGGTCGGCCAGCTCTTCTCAAGGTGTGGACGGAGCAGCTGGGCTTGGTGTGTGTGGGGGTGGGTCAGGGGGAATTCAGGGAGGAAGAAATAGTGCCTGATCCTAGTGGTCAAGTGTCCAGTGAGAGGAGTCGAGCAGGCTGTGACATCGTTGCCATTCCATAGCATGCCTGACCATGGGGGCGACACTGGCCAGCACAGATGGTGAAACAGGACTGTGAGGTGTGCAGTTTTGCACAGTGGCCTAGAGACGAGAAAGCATGCACCTTGAGTGCTGGGGGACACTGAATGGCCAAGACCCACTACCAGGGGCACTTGTAGAGGAAGGTGACAAGGGTGGTCCGAAGCCTCGCTGGAACAGCAGGTATTTTACTTTGTCTTGCAGACAGTACAGGCTCACTGAGTACTTGGAGTGTCACAATTGGACACTAAATCAAATAGCTGGAAAGGCTCTCAAGGTGTATATGACAGACTATTCCAGAACTGACCACTGCCAGACCAGCCAGTAAAATCCTGGCCAGAACAAAGATTGTTTCCCTCAAATCCCTCAGATACTGTCCGATGGGCCCCTCCCCTATGCCCAGACATGCTGGTTCCTAGAACAGGCCATTGCCCTGCTCAAGGCAAGCAAAATATGCAAAGCATCTTCCCCTTATGGGGGGTAAGGTGGAAGGTGACACCCCAGTACTCCTATCCACCCTGCCCTGTCCTATATAACTCCTTAGCATCTTCCACACAGTACAGAGGACACCCATGTCATCATGCCACCACCCAAGATGTGCCTTGTATGGAAGTTCCCTTAATAGACTCTTAATTTAATGATGGAGTTGTCAGCCTTTTTGGTCTCTGGGCCCTGGGAAATTTTCTGTAACACAAGACCTCAGGCTCATTTTCCTCCTGGTTGTGAGTAGTGCATTTGCCAGGAAATGTGGGTAGATAAGGACAGGAATGAGGAATATTCTGTCCTCCCTGCTGACCCCACAGGCATTATGAGAAATGCCCTCTCTTCACTGACCATATTCTCTAGCCACACCCTTTAATCCCACAGAACTGTAACACACTGATACTGAGTAAACACTGAACCCTCCAAATGCCTCCAGAACACAAGCTTCAACAGGGCAAGAGGTTCGTTTGTTTATGCTCTGCTGTATCACGAGCACTCAGAAAAGTAGTCGGCACATGGTAGGTGTGCAATAAGTATTTGTTAAATGAACAAACAAAACGATGCGTTGTAGTGAGTATAAACTGGGACTATAAACAATCTTAAATATCATATTTAATATGTTCCTTTTATAGATGAGGAAACAAAGGCTGGGAATGTCAAAGAATTCCCCTCAACTCACATAGTCCAGCCAGAGAATTGAATCAGTTGTAAAACCACAACTATTATCCAGGTCACCAGGTGCTGAGTATAATGCTCTTTCCACTGCCCCACATTGCCCCTGTTGTTTGCATTTTCAGTAACCTATAATTAAGAACGATGAAATTAGAAATCAGCAATTTATAGATCTCCAAAGATCTTTATTTTGTAAATGTTGAGAACCTCCATGGCACAGAATATTCATATAATAAAGCAGTAATATGCAAATTGACCCTCACGCCATCGCCATAACAGTCACAAGATGGTGGCGTGCACAGCGGGGGCGGGGCAGCAGGGGTGGGGCCAGGGGCTTCCACTGGGGTTCCTGAGGCCCCGCAGGGGTGCAAGGGCCCCAGCGTCCGCTTCACGCAACTTCTGCCGGGGTTTCCGTGGCCCCGTGTGCACGCCGCGGGGGCGGGGCCCGGTGGCCACTGTGCAAGGCCCGGAGGCAGGGCATCGGGGTGGCACTCCAAGACTTGGGGCCGTCCCGTGGCACGCAGGCCATGCGGGGCGGGACTCTGGGACTCAGGGTGGTCCCATGGCATGGGGGGGTGGGGAGGTCCTGGGTCTCGCGCAATTTCGCTCAACAGGTCACTAGTTAAGATAATAAAAAGCAATTGGGAACAGAATGGAGGAAACATCCTGATTTCAGGTAAATGAAATGAAAGCAACACTCTCTACACTTTTACAACACTGCAGCTTAGAATTTCTGAGATTACTGCCTTTACTTTGCTTTGAAATTGCTCAGTAAACCACATCAGACATCACTTGACTAACTCTTGCACAAACTGGCCTCCCCCACTGGCTCCCTGGAGAATAACACATATCCAAGCTTTAAAAATCTTCCTTGGTGCTAAAAGTGTATGTATTTGAAAGGCAACAAATAGAGGCTTCTGTCAGCTTTGAAGTGGCTTTTTGGAATCTACTGCAAACATTTAAAATAAAAAAGATGCTTGGTAACTATCTGCAAGGTAATAAACAAATAACAAATGAGCAATAATCAAGAATGAAGATCAGAGAACAGAAGCTCACAATGACACTGTTGTTTGAAAATAAGTATTTGTGATCATCAGCTCTGCACCAGGCACTGCTAGCTGTCGGGAGTCAGCAGTGAATGGCCAACAGGGTCCTTGTCCTCATGGCACTTACAGTCTTGGGAGGGGGCTAGAATCAGAGCTACTGAATAAAGACACAGTTGCCATCAATTAATTGCAATGGTAATGCTTGCCATGGAGGAGGTGTGCATGTGCTAAATAGAGTTTCACAGGGTTCTCTACCCAACCATGGAAGTCCTAATAGAAGAAAGGGTATGAGCAAGGCCCGAGGAAGAACTGAAAGGTCTATGTGGCAGAAATAAGCAAGTGCCAGGGGGACAGGGGCTTGGAGCTGCTAGAGAGGTGGGCAGGACCAAAGCTAGAAAGGGCACTAGTTAGAAGAGTATATAAAGTAAGGGTTTTGGACTGTGCCCTCAGAGCACTGAGAATCCAAAGATTATAAAGAGATTATAATGACAAAGAACTGACTGTTAAAAGCTTATCCTTTGAAAAATAAGTTTTTAATTTTCAGAACAGTACAAACCATTTGGAAAGGATATAAATTAGAAAATAAGGATTGTCAGTTCAGCATTTAGGAATGACAGCAGAAAGGCATGTCCATGGCTCCATGGAATGAAGGACATATTTAGTAACCTGAAACAGACTCATAAAACTACTAGGCACACTTCTTTGCAAAAAAAAGAAGAAGAAGAAGAAGGAAAAAAAGAAACATGATGTTTCTAAAGACTACTAAAATTCAAATATTCAAAATCTGTTAGAAGAATCAAATGTTAACTCCATTTCCAATTTAATGTATAAACTCAATAATAAAAGACATTGAGCCCTAACCGGTTTGGCTCACTGGATAGAGCGTCGGCCTTCGGACTGAAGGGTCCTAGGTTCCATTCCGGTCAAGGGCATGTACCTTGGTTGTGGGCACATCCCCAGTAGGAGGTGTGCAGGAGGCAGCTGATCGATGTTTCTCTCTCATCAATGTTTCTAACTCTCTATACCTCTCCCTTCCTCTCAGTAAAAATCAATAAAATATATTTTTTTAAAAAAAAGACATTGAGGCTTTCATTTAAAAAAACCATTCCCCCTTCTCAACCCTCCCTTGGCCATTAGTCTCTCCATCTGAACTCACAAACATCATCTAATGTCTCAGCAGGCATATAGCAGTGGGCCAGGTACTGCTTCGCTTACTTCCTGGATGTTTATCTCATTCAACTCTTGCATTTAACACACTTTCCATGTGTTTATACCTAGACTGCTCATTGGGACTGTGAGTTCCTTAAGAAATCCCTGGCCCTGACTGGGTAGCTCAGGTGGTTAGAGATGTTCCAACATGCCAAGGTTGTGGGTTCAATCCCCGGTCAGTGCACATACAGGAAGCAAATAATGAATGCATAAATAAGTCGAACAACAAATTGATCTCTCTCTCTCTCTCTCTCTCTCTCTCTCTCTCTCTCTCTCTCTCCCCCCCCCCCCCAAAAGCAATAAATAAAATAAAATAAAAAGAAATGCCTACATAACTTTTGTGCCATAAGGCACCTGGCAACATGGTATACCACACAGGGGCTTGCAAATACTGACTCATCAAGGAAGTAATTGGTAAAAGACAGAAAACAGGGTTTGGAAATAATCTGTGGATTGGGTTATAGAGATCTTTCACAACTTCATTGTAACATTTAACAGAGCAAATCAAATCCTATCACACTAGTAAGAAAAGACTAAGGGATGTAAAAAAGAATATTATGAAATTCAATTATTTTATAGACACGCTGCTGCACAGATGAAGGAGGATTTTCTCTCAGCTTCCTCTGAAAAACATGGGCATGTTTTCACCTTAAGATACCGTAGACAGTATTAATCAATTATGTTTCCCTCTTTCCTTTAACCATTAGGTATCTAGAGCCATACCTATGTTTCCTTATAGCAACTGACAAAATGTGTATTTCTTTGTTGAAACCTCAACCCAGCTTTATTATTTTCTGATTTTATTTTTCCTTTACCTTTTGCCCAACAATTTTTGTTTTAGACAAATATATCTATATCTATAGATGTCACTATCTCATAGCCTTTGTAAAACTCTGTTTATTAAACTAAATAAATATAAATAATTAAGCAAGTGATGCTTAGTGCTCCATGATGTACTCTGCTGTGCAAATTCAGTAATAGTTTTTCAAACCAAAGCAATTAATCCCTGTCTCCAAACAAAACATCTAGAGAGTGAGATAATCAGGTACATTTCAGGTGCCCTGCCTTTGCTTTTCTGCTGCTCTTGCCTTTTCATAACATCCATTTTATCTGTGCCTCGCTGTCAGCTCTACTTCCTTCAGGTCTCCAGAATCCATTTCCTCCTTTGAATGTCTCCTGCCACAGACATAACTCACTCTCGCAACATGCCTCTCCTAGGCTATTGCATGATGCTCCTGGCCAATCTCACTGCCTCCCATCTCTGTCCCATTCAATCTATCTTTCAGTACAGAGTGGAGGTTTTGTGCCAAATGCATTCACCCACCCGCGCATTCAATAAGTATCTACTGAGTGCCTATTAAAGATGAGGCGTATGTGAAGCACTGTGACAAATAAGTAGAGAAACTTGATCTCCTCTCTTCAATCGCTCATGGATAGTGGGAGGCAGAGCAATATACAAACTAGAGCACACTCTGACAAGCGAGTGCTATGACTGCCCAGTGTCCTGTTGGGAAACACTGACAGAGCATACGTGGCACATTCCAAAGCTCCTCAGAGCATGGAGTACCTGCAGACAAGAGTGGGAAAGAAAGCTGGAGGGGTGGGGGAACGCCAAGTCAGAAAGGGCCTGATATGGCACATTGATCTAAACATATGATTTGTGTTTAGAACTTCTAGTGGTTCCCCATTCCCAACCCTTAATACAGCCTTCTGTGCTTCCTGATCTAGGCCCCAGTCTACCTTTACAATTCATTCTCAACTCCTAGTCCTGTGCCACACCCAACTACACCTTGCTCCTCAAAGATTCCAAACAACTAGGCATTCAGCCAAATTCAAATTTTTCCCCTGGCAACAGTACACCCCACTCCATCTCTGCCTGTGGAAAACCCTACTTAGAATTTCTTCAATAATTTTTAATATTGCAACCACTAACAAGTATCAATTAAGTATGACTCTTGCCTCAAAGAATGTTGTGGGGGGAAAATGTAAGTTGAGTAACAATCATAGAGATTCCATATAGATTCTATTATATAGTAGATTCTAAGATAAAATATTAATCATGTAGAGCTTTAGCTTTACTTCTCTAAATTCTAAGAAAAATCTAGCAGGAATAGTATCTTATATTAGCTCTATAACACCAAGAAAGATGTTGCCCATAACCCCAAATACCGGGTCAGGGCTATAATAATGAAAAGTCCCAACTAGCCATATCTCCACGGATTATAAAAGTAAGCAGTGAGCTCAAAATAAATTCTTATGACAGTTCAAGAACCATTATACTGACTTACTTAGAATTAAATACTAAGCACGTTTCCTGAAGACAGGAATAATTGAATTATCATGAAACGTAATGCCACGTTTGTTCATTCTGTGTAAACATATACAGATTGCGAGTGAGGCTAGATTAATTTCTTCAAAGCACAATAGATTTCCATAAACATAATGAAGCTGTCTGTGGTAATAAAGTCTTAGAAGTCAACACTGAAGACTTTTCCATTTATTTCTCCCTACCTGAAGTAGCAGAATGAAAATCAGATGAAAATACAGGACTTTTATATGTAAATTAACCCAAAAGTAACTTTTTCAGGAAATGTACAAAAAGCTTAGAATGAAAGCAAACTCTGTATGCATATTTAGGAATTAGCAGTGGCCTAGGAAGCCCTGAAGCGTTTATAGCTCCTCCAATCATACCTAAAATACTATGTTACTGTCAGTGGAGCAGAATTTTCCCCAAATCCTTCCTAAAGGGAAGTTGTGGCAAACAAGGCAGACAGAGCAGAGGACTTCAATTACTTTCATGAGAAATCACTAAACGTTATTCAGAAGAGCATAGAAATAATGAAAGAGGTGGCCCGAGCATATGGGATAGTTGGG